TAATGAGATGTTGCTGATTCCAGCAATGAGACGGTCACAAAGTTATTCTTCCAATCGGTCACCATATTTGCATTTTGACGCCTGTTTGTTCAACTGGAGAATGAACTCGCGGCACGGCATGTTGGCAACTCTGATCATTAAGTTGAATTTGGCCCGTTTAGTAGCCTGAAGCTCCACTGGGAGAATGTGGTCCAGCAATAAGGATTTTAACTTCTCGAACGACAATTCAGCAGGAACATTCGCGAACGCTAGATTCTTCAGCTAAGAGTACATCTCTCGGTCGCCCAACGTCAAAAATAGGACCGACTGATTTTGCATCCCTCCTTTCCGGATGCTACACCATAATTCGAAGCGTTCTACGCACTCTTCGATTTCTGGTGGGCTTCCGTGCAGGTTCAATGATTCAATGACAAGAATCTCCATTGCACGACGCCAAATTGTTGTAATCGGAATATTACTGAATTTAGAAATACGAGAACGCGTACCGCACTGCTCAGAACTAAATTGGTTTCAACCCGAACTGCGGACATCAATGAAATACACGAGGAATTGATGGCAAATAATGTTTATGTTTATTGATGGAATTAGGTCATGTTTTATAGAATATAATAGTCCATATGATTCGTTGACCAAGCATCCTCCAATCACGTAACCGTTTGCACCGACGAATCATATGTACTAACTCGGATGTCATGTTCGCCCGGTGTACCATTGGTCGAGCTTCCTGAACGGTGATTGGATGAAATAAAACTGTACCCGGTCGCGCATGGACTGTGGTCACAGAAGTCTGGATCACCGCACCAACATACGCTCGAAACGGAACTTCTCTTTTCTTTGAACAGCTTGGGCTTTATTACGGACCTGTTTATAATTATCATATGCCTGGCTGGTGCGGTACGTGACATACGCTGCCCATCTTTTCCTCCGGGTGTCTACTGCCTTCTTCACTCTTGGCTGCCACCACGGAGGCGACTGTTGTTCTCTGAATGGCCTCAGTGGTAGAAACTCCGCTGTTAGCCTCAGCAGTCCGTTTTTGACTGCTTCCCATCTTTCCTCTAGGGTAGGGTCAGGGTGGTTGGGCAACCAAGACATTTTTGCCGCAGCCCTTTTCATTACTTCTATCCATAGCATGACGTAACACCAAATATGGGCTGCTGGGGATAATAATAATAATAATAATAATAAGTGTATATTTCACGGAGACCCGTGAAGCATGCATAGGCAGGATCAAATGTACAACATAATCATTCTTATACGAGAACCGATTAGAAAAACTTTGAAGGTCGCATTGAACATAATTACAAATGGAACACAAAGTGGACAAGGTTTCAGAGAAAAAGGTTCGAGATGGCGGAATGCTCCGAAAGAGCAAGTCGGTGGAAGTGGTACGAAAAACAAGAATAGATTAATCGGATGAATGTTGGGATAATTGGAAATACGACTTTCAGTAAGTAAAATAACAGGAGGCAGCCTGCAGATCGTTGGACGGGAATTATACTTATTATTATACTTATACGGGAATAATACTTTGTGTATGGAAAGCAAAGCCTTCATCACTATATGATCACTTTTACCCAGAGGTACCTCCACCCTTAATTCAATATTATTCTTGTGGCACTTTGTGATCAATATGTCTAGTGGTGGGGGCGATTGACCCCCGGTGTCTCGTTGGCACCGTAACATGTTGAACCAGTCCGTGTAGTTGCACCCATTGTAGGAATGCTTCATCCGTGGATCCTATGGGCGCACTTCCAGCCTCCCAGTTGATGGTCGGAAAGTTAAAGTTAAAAGAACAACGAACTCCCTGGTTTTGGTGAGCACTGTTTGCAGTACTCTCGATAGGTCGTCATTCTCCTATCCACTGGAGAAGGGGGCTCTGTAGATACATACAATACACACTGTTTCTTTTGA